TTTCAAGTGAACTGCAAATCAGGCAACCCGCTGCCAGCGGGAGAGGACATTTCAAGTGAACTTATTTTTATTTGTTACTCATTTAAAGTATAATTTATTTAATCTCTTCTTTTGAAGTAGTACGGGGATACCTGGTTAAGCCTGAGAACGCTTGGGAACTTTTGAGTCTGATACAGCGAACTGGGCGTCTGAGCCCGGTTGAACCCCTAGAGTATGTGAGGCTGATGAGACGGAGAGAGAGTGACGGGGGTTGGGGGCCCTACCGCTAAAGGCGAGCCCGAAGAACGGCGAATATTTCTGATTAATTAATCTCATTATAATCGTACAGGCAGCGAGAGTCTTCAGACATGAAACTCATAATGACCATGCAGCAGGTGAGTGCTGAGGCCATCACCCTGCTGATCGCCGAGGACCCCGGAGACGGCCGCGGCGAGTGACAGGCACCGTTGCCCTTGGCTTCGGCGATCGGTAGGCGACCCTTCCCCGGGTTCCCTCATAGCGTATTGCTTGCTATCACCAAGTGCAAGGCTCAAGGCGGCACATGACCGGTTGTAGAACTCCCGGCGCTGATGCGAAAATGGCAATTTGAGATCGGGTGTCGCCGCAATCTTTTGCCATTCTGTGAGCCAGTCGCGTGTCGGTGTGTTGCCTTGCGTCATCGCGAGGCGGTTGATGGCGAGCGTCGGGGCGTCGTCCACGATGAACCGCTTCTTCCATAGCTTCGTCAGATCTGCCCAAGGAATCTTCGTGTGCAGATCGGCGACGTCGACGCCGTGGATGGTTGCCAGGTGGCTAAGCCAGATCTGGCATCCGCCCTTTGAGTTGAGGAACAGCGCGCCAATGTACGAGCGCTCGGGGACGAAAAGAATCCGAAGTTCCGTCGTAAAGCCCTCCCACCAGGGGACCGGGTCTTGATGCGTACAATCATCGAACTTTTCGATGCGGAATGTCGGCATCTTGTAGTGCTGCGAGGTGTTGCCATCCTTGTTGGGCAGCTGGTGCAGTTGCTGAACCTCGGTCTTCAAGGTGTCCAGCTGCTTGCTGATGGTGGCTGGTGCAGCGAAGGTGCTGATGTTGCCGAGCATTGCGACGACATGGTCAACTCGTTCCTCCAATTGGCGGGTAGAGGGTGCACTGCTGGACTCGCCAGCATCCGGTCTTGGTGCAGATTGTTCCATGTCCTGTACACGGGAATCAAGTGCCCGTGTAGCATCCTCGTGCAGATCCTTGTGGTTCCGCACCGCCCGTCGGAGATTCGCTAGCTCGGACTGCAGGTGGTTACAAGTGTAAACCAACCAGGTCACGAGTTTGGCCAGGAACTCCTGTGCTGCTCTTCCGGTGTCGCATCGTCGTGCTGCTCAGATGGTTCAAAATGCCAAAACTTGAGCTTTCCGATGCTGGTGGCTTCATGCCGCTGTAACATATCCTGGGCCTCCTTGCGGCGTGCCTGGGTATCTGCTTCGGCTTCGGCTTGAAGCCGCTGCTTTTCAACTGTTGCCGCCGCTTCAGCTTGTAGGCGGGAAGCCTCGGCTGCCGCCTGACGCTGTTCCTCAGCGTCGATCAGTGCGAGCTGAGCTTCAAAACGCTGTCGGTACTCGGCAATGGACTCATTGGCCAGTTGGCCTGGCATGCCCAGAACTGAGCCCGTCATGGTGGCGGGGCACTGCTGACGTGGTACTGCTGATGTGGCACTGTTGCTGACGTGGCACTGCTGACGTGGCACTGCTGACGTGGCATTGTTGCTGACGTGGCACTGCTGACGTGGCACTGCCGACGTGGCACTGTTGCTGACGTGGCACTGCTGACGTGGCACTGTTGCTGATGTGGCACTGTACCAACCCGGGAATGCATGCAAAGGGGTGGGTGGGAGGGAAAACGCACGTAGGTAACCAACCCAGCTATACTTTCCTCCCGATCCTAATCAACAGACTAAAATAAATAAAAAAATAAAAGAAGAGGATCCCCGCCCTTTATTTATTTTTTTGTACAAAGGAGAAGGGAACTCAGTCGCATGGCAGAGGTAGGAATGGGTGGGAAGGCAGCAGGTACAGCTCTCAGAGTAAACTCCAAGGGGGCACCCACACAACCAGGTAAGGGTCATCAGGCTCAGAGGGAGAGTAACAGCACGACACCGGGCTCAATGGAAACCATCAAAGGGGTACCGCCAGCTGAAAGGGGAAGGGCACTCACACAAGGGAGCACACATAAGGTGAGCCTGGAAGGAGAGAGAGGGCTATGCCGACATAGACATGTGGCCAAAAGCCGCAAGCAAAGAAAACATACACTCCAGAGAAGGGCGTGCAACATAAGGTAAGGCAGAAGGGCGGCAAGCGGACACACCCACATAGACTTGGAAAATAGGGGTCATCATGCGACTGGAGGGTAACTCGAGGGTAAGGATACATGGGAATGATGGGAACTCCGTAGCCGAAAAAGTGAAGTAGTCCAACTGATGAGTCTCCAAACTGAAGTCGAGTCGAAGTAGCCAGGATGAAGTAGGAGTAATGCAGAAACCGAGTAGAAGTCCGGAACAATGCGAGATGTACTCTGGTACTGAAGAGAAGCACTGAGGTCGGAAGTCGATGTAGAAGCCCAATGTAGAAGCGAAAACCGGGAGCTGTTGCATAAGTGTCCAGGAATGGTAAAAGATAGAGAGCGTATAGGGGGGTAAGATCAGACACGATATCGGGAAGGAAGTCGATGGGTACGCTGAGGGCGCGAGGACTCGACTACAACAACAGGCGGAACCACATCCACAGGGGAAGGAGGACTTGAGGCGGGTACCGAAGGAGCAGGAGGAGCCAAGGGTGAACATGATCGTAAGCACGCACGAAAGTCATAGCATGCTTCAGGTGCTCAAGATGCTCCCAAGTAGACTCCTCGTCAGGGTAACCCTTCCATCGAACGAGATACTCGAGGCGGGGAGGGTCACCATCAGTCATACGCCGGGATGCGATATCAGAGACGACAAACTCCTCGTGACCCTGAATGATGATGGGAGAGGGGCGAGGGTAAGGTCGACCATGGAACTCGGGAGGAGACCGTCTGAAGGGGCGCAAAAGAGATACATGGAACACGTCATGTAAGTTAGCGCGGTACATGGAATCGGGGAGCTTCAATTTGAAGCTCACTGGACAGTCATGGGTGGGTCCGACGGGTGCAAGAATAGTGCATGGTCCAATATATCGACGTCTGAATTTCCGAAGCGTGTCAGCTTCGGGCTGGAAGTGATGTGCGTCGACAAGAACCTCGTCGCCAACTTTGAAGGGATGGCCGATGCGAGAGCGGTTAGCGCGAGTGGCCATGCGAGCCTGGGAGTCAGCAATGCTCTCACGAGCCTTGCTAAGAAGCGCATCCATCTCCTTTACCCAGTTATCGAGGGCAGGGCATTTGGTGTCGAGATGGATCTGAGATGGACGGAGAAGGTCAGATGGGACACGAGGATGGTATCCCAAGTCACAGTAGTAGGGAAACATGCCAGTGGCAGGTGAAATAGCATGGTTATAAGCAATCTCTGCGTGGGCAAGGTGGAGATCCCAATCAGAGTCATTCTCAACAAACTTCTTG